ATCCAGCCCCCGCCCGTGGTGGTCACCTTCCCCGGCCCCATCCTCAGCTCCTTCCCCCAGCAAGCCGTGGTGGGCTCCTCCGGAGCACCGGCCTTTGGCGGCTCCCTGGGGCTGGGCGGCCTCTACGGCGCCGGYGCCACCCAGGCCTCGGGCGGCCTCTGCACCTTTGGCAGAGCCTAYGCTGCTCCCGCCTGCAGCCCTTGCGTCGTGCCCCGCTACAGCAAGAAGCTCTGGGACACCTGCGGGCCCTGCTAGAGCCACCACCAACAACCCACCCCAAACAGCCACAGTGGCCTTAACCCATCATGAAGGAGGGGAGCTCTGCACACGCTGGTTTGAGCTCTAGAAGCCCCTGACTCCCAGCCTAACTGGCTCCTGCCCACCATCTCTCTCCCAGTCTCTCCTGACTCTTTCTTGATAATAAAGTGTTTCTGCATCCAAATCTTGTCTTCTACCCATTTTTTCCCAAATCAGGGAGATCCCCATAAGAGGGGATATGCAAGACTGGGAGGGAATGGAAAATGGAAAGTGGAAGGTCAGAGGGAAGGGCACCGTAGGGTTTAAATGGAGCCAAAAATAAAGGTTATGAAAAAGGAAAGGAAGGCAGAAGAGCAATTGGAAAGGGTTGGGTTAGTTAGGGAGAGGGAGTAGAGGGAAAGGGAGAGAAGGAGAAGGAAAAGGGGAAAGAGTAAGAAGGACAAAGATAAGTGTCAGGGACAAAGTCAATGACAATTACAAGAATAGGAAACAGAAGGAGATGGAGAGAGAAGGATAAGGATGTCACAAAAAAGAAGTGTGTGTTTGTTTTTCTTGGCCCAGTTTTTGGAAGTGGGGGGGGGCCAAAAAGATGGTTTCTGTGAGAAGCTTCTGGATGCTTCCACCATGTCCGGCAGAACCAATTGCTGCTGGCTCTGAGGATGGTGGACATGCCACTGACCAAACCTGGGTCGGTTGAAGATGGTGGTTATGCCTCTGTGAAAACATATTTAAGAAGAAATCAAAACAAAGGTGGGAGCCACAGTAGTTTTGCCAGAGGAGGAAGCTGAGAAATATGTGCAGTATGTAGACACCAAGGTCAGTGCAGGAGTGGGAGGAGCTGCTCCAGGCACCGGAGCTGGGATTCCTTTGCAG